TGTATATTGGATGCATGGCACATGATTATGCACACCATCAAGAGCAAATGAGTTTATATTTGGTCTACCCACTCGTATTTTTGCCGTGCTTACTTGATCTATAATGTTAATGAGGGTGTATTTTGTTTCCACAACTTATCTTCTTAAAGTGAGTTTTCTCGTCATAAAAAGATCCTTACATTTTTAATAAACGAGTAAAGATCCCACTTCATATTAATTTCTACAACGGCCAATGATGGATCGAAGGAGGCTACCGAGAGCCGTCGCCTCTCCATGACCAATTGGTACTTGGTGCAATTTTTAAGTAATATATGCCACAATATCTGTGACATTTAATATAAAATTTCAATATTCAGTACATCTGAATTGATAAGCAACCGCCACTGAAAATGTCCAAATAGGAGATGTTGTGTTTATAAACATAATTAGTATATAGCTACTTGCTAATCAGTCTTGGTTCCTTTATCATCTCTCCTTTTGTTTTGGATAACATGGGCATAACATTCAACTTAATCAATTCCCATGAATGCACATAAATTGCCTCGTTCGAGTGCATACATAATGGCTCCACCCTATCTTGTCCATGTGCAAAAGGAAAGGCTCCATTGTTAGAGCAGCAGACATGATCCTCAAAGTTCTTTTGAGGGATAGATATTGTCATTTGAATGAAATCTGTCACAACCTAATTAAACCTTTAACCAATTAGACAATTCTTTTAGATGGCGTTTGGTCATTTGGATTTTTAGCCTGGAAAGGATATGATAATAAATCTAAGGATTTTTCTGTATCCAATTCACTATTTGGTGAATCTCAGCATTAAAACTGGATACTTTCATATTATATCTTGTCCATTGTTTGGTATGAACGTATGTAAATGAACAAACATAGATGGTAAGAATCTCTCATGATTCACTACTAAAGAAACCATAAATACGCAAATGCAGATAACCTCCCTCAATCAATTTACAATTATTATACGGGTGGCGCCTTTTCTATTCCTTCCTTGGTTAAAACACCCCTTAATATAGTGTTCTGACAATTTTACCCTTCATCCCACCTTTCAGCATATGAGTGCTACTATGCATTGGATTTTTTCCTTTCTTTTCTTGCGGATCCCAATTTCCTTCATTTTATTCCTACTCTTTTTGTAGGCAATCCTCCTTTCACACTTTTTGTAAAACGTGGTATCCTCGGGTAAAGTTAATGAGCATGCAGAGGGTGATATTGTCAGAATTGTGAGGCTAGAACAAGCCTGAGTAGACAAGGCTCCCCGCTGGAGACCTTCATATGGAACTCGCCGTCAGAGACTTTCTTGGGTGGCGTTTGCTTCAGCCTCTCTGACGTGCTCGTCCGCGATCCACCGGACAATTTGCTGAATCCACTATGGTACCGCCTTGAGGACGGCGACGCAATGGAGAAGAGCTGCGTCTCCGGCAACATCCTACTCTCCATCTGGATTGGCACCCAAGGTGTGGAGCTTGGAGGCGCTGTATGTGGTTCACATGAGCTCTAAGGTCTATCGGTCTCCAAAGCTGTGGTACCTGCATGCGATGGTGATTGAAGCTCAAGACCTCCACATCACTCTGAATCTGCTGCCATTAATGGTGCGAGTGGTGAGGGTCAAGGTATAGTCTGTTTGGATATGGCAAGGGTCAAGGAATACAGTTTCTTTACATCTTGATCTAATTTTTTGTTGCCCTTAAGTAATTGATACTGCCTAGTAGGGGTGTGCAAAAAAATCGGGAACCACCCAGACCGCTCGGGATGGCCTAGAACAGGATCGAAACTGGTGGTTCCCAGTTCTAGGTATGGAACCGACTGCCCGCCCGCCCACCCAGACCGGACCGGTAATATAATAATAAATATAATATAATATAATATATAATCTATTTTTTTTAATTTTTTTAAAAAAGAAAAATCCTAAATCCCTAAACTAAATCTAACTCGCTCGACACTCATAGCCTCACATCGAGCTGAGAAAGACCTTCTTTCGCTTTGGCCTCACTCTCTCACTCTTCTTGATTAATGCTCACCTTACTATCTTCGACTCTCCATCTCTGTCTCCGTCTTTGTCTTTCAGTCTCCGTCCTTGGCTAGTGGGACTGGTTCCATGGACTCACCCGGGAATCGGACCGAACCGGCGGTCCGGTTCCCGAATGAATCCATGGAACCAACGGGCGGTTCCCGATTCTAATTTTTCGGAACCGATCGTTAGTGGGCGGTTCCCAGTTTTAGGGTGGGAGCTGCCCACCCGGACCATGCTCACCTCTACTGCCTAGTGCCATGGCAAGGAGTTAGAGCATTTTGCTACAACCTTCATTTTCTCTTTCTTGAAGATCGACTTGAGTTCAAAGAAATTCTTTTGACCCCACTTGCTAATTCCCTATACTAAAGAGAAGAAATTTTTGTATCTCTATTTCGTTCTTTTTTTCGAGGTGGAGTTCAGTTGTTTTCTAGTTTCTTACTTGAACATGGTGAAGAAGCTTGTCTGTAATTGAATTGGAGCTTCAAGTTGTGGTTTTTCATTCTGTTTTTTGAGGTGGTGTTTTACCTCTTGCACTCCGCATCCTCCTCAACTTCGCTAGAGGGTATGAGGAAGGAAGATAAATTGCTCGAAGAGAGAGAAAGAGAGGGGAAACAAGATGAAGGAAAGTGGTATCCATAAGAAAAGAAGAGAAAGAAACCATAAACGGGACAAAAACACATAGTAAAGATGGGACCCAGGGTAAAATCGTCATAACACTGTATTGGGGAGTATTTTAGCCAAAAAAAGGGAGTGAAAAAAGCGTGGCCCTTATTGTACTCTCTACATCTTAAACAGAAAAAGAACTTATTATAGCATTCCAGAGCCACAGGTTCAACAGTGATAAGAAATGTAAATGGGCTATAGCAACATCGAACATCAATGAGGTAGATCAGCCAGCGAACACCAAATCTAGTAAAAAAGAAAAAACTTGATTATTTACTCTCACGATTTCAAAAAGTATAGTGCTTTAACTCTCTTGCCACTTTTGTGAAACTTCAACATAAACCATTGAGCTATATAAAAGATGACTTTCGACTCTGTTGCTGCTTTTGTGGACTTTTGACAGGAACTAGAGAGCTACAGAGAAGAAGGAATTTAAACTCTTTCATCGTTTTCGTGGAGCTTTGACATGAACAAAAAACTATGGAAGAGTTGTGAAGCTTTAACGTGAACCAAAGATACGAAGAAGAACGAGACGCGGTGAAATAGAAAGATCCATTTCAAGTTTGAATTTGTTAATTTAAAATAGGGTTTTCGCTACTTCATTTTATTTACTTATTTTAAAATCAATTTTCCTCTTTTTTTTATTTATTTTTTCCCCTCCACCATTCCTCAATAAAAATTTTATTAAATAATAAACTATACTAATATACCTAAAATATGGAATAAATATAGATACTAAATATAATATATATATATATACAGAATATAAATTATAGAATATAACGAAATTCAAATATATGAATAAAAGAAATAAATAAAAAATGAAATTTGTCCATTATCTTTTTATTTTGAATTTTATTTTTATATTAGAATCCAAATATTATTTTATATTTAATTATTGTTTTAATTTTTTAATTTAAGAAATTTGTTATTCGATAATGTAGTAAAATGAATGGGATGCTAGGTTTCAAAAACCTAGTACGGATATCACAAGTTTGATTCCTATCCGAGGCACGGTACTACCTTATTGCTGTAATAAAAAGGGAAAAAGATGTACATGCATTCGAAATGTGAAATAGGTGAAGATAGGATTAGCTCGAGGATACAGAAAGAGCGAGATAGGTCCCAACTTACGTGGGCAACTTTGGCTTTTGCAACCCAATAAAGAGAAAAGGAATTCGATTGCCAATCCCTAGAAAGAATTCTCCACTGATTGCTTTGCAGCTTTTGCCTTCTGTCCTGCAAGTACAAACCAAGCAGTGACCAACAGTGAGTGATGGAGATGATATTTCTCTGACGTTCGAAAAAGAGGAGGGTCCAGAGAAAAAGGACCAATTAGCAAAAGCCCCGCACCCAATTTGAATTGGAGCTCCATGTCTCTTTCCTTTTTTGGGGGGGTTAACATGTATGTGTTCTTCATTCAAATGAACTCAACCCACACTTAGGTTCCATTCCCCAATCACTCCTAAAGGAACTTCTCAATTCATAAAACAATTTGGCCCAAAAATAAATGACAATTCTCACAACTCCTCTCGTTTTCTTTTGAATCTTAGAGCTGTCATGTTGTGAAATAAAGGAAAATTAAGACAGAGAAAAAGAAAATTCAGTTGATGAAATAATTGGGTATCATCAGGCTTCGCAAAGATGGCCCGTGCAAACTTGGGCTGAGTAACCTCTGCCACATTAGCGGGCTTGCGATGATCGATATCTCTTGGGCCGACATAAATGGGCTGACTGTGCATACAACCATTAAGGTCCAGCCATTGGAGGAAACAAGTCAAAACCTTGAGGATGAATTAACAAAAAATCCATCAAAGGCAATTAGAGCTTAATGCTCAAAGGATCATGGCGATCTGATACATTGCTTGTATCACCCTCAGGATGATGACAATGGAAATATTATTTTCACTTTGATGGTTATTCTTTACTTTGTTCAGTGTTGCATTCACATAAATAACTCCCAAGTTATGGATTGGATATGCCTTTCACTTATGCATCAGATTAGTCAGAAACCTTCCCAAATCCATCAAAGGCAATTAGAGCTTAATGCTCAAAGGGTCATGGCGATCTGATACATTGCTTGTATCATCCTCAGGATGATGACAATGGAAATATTATTTTCACTTTAGTGGTTATTCTTTACTTTGTTCAGTGTTACGTTCACATAAGTGACTCTCAAGTTATGGATTGGATATGCCTTTCACTTATGCATCAGATTAGTCAGAAACCTTCCCAAATCCGCGATTCGACAGACAAGATAATGGGAATAACATCCATGTAAATGAATAGCAAACTGAGGAATGCCTGCGGATGGATCAAAGGGAAAAAGCTGTCATTCAGTTCAGCATTGATTTTGATTTCTGTAAACAGTTGAATCGAGCCGACATAAGTGGGAAGGACAAAAGAGACAGATTCAAACAACTGTCGTCGCTTCTTCTAACAATTGCTTGATGGATTTCTTCCGTCTAATAAGATTTATGTTAAATCTTTTTCACAGCAACTCAAGATCTCCCTTTCCTGTACAGCCATTCCCATCAAACCGAGGCTCGAGCCCTCAGCGGCGGTAAGCCACACCATGTCCATGTATAAATCTCGCATCTTCTTCCGTGTAGACGTGGGTTTCCTTCAAAAGTCTGAACGACGCACGGAAACTCAATAAAATCAAAAAACTTGTACGCAATGATCTGGTGAAGAAAAATGCAGTCAATGCCACTTTTCGATTAGCACAAGTAGCGGAGAAAACCATTCACTTACGTGGTCAAAACCATCTTGTTCAGGGTGGCTGAAGAAAGGAACGAGGCACCATTGAGATAGAGCAAATCCCCATCGATTCTCTTTTCTATTCTCCTATCAATTTCCTTGGCATCCACAGAGAACGGTTCATCGGAGGCCTGATTCAAGAAACACATCAAGAATATGATACAGAACATGAAGTAAAAGTTAACTAGCTGAATGATTTCGAGCAAGCCAAGACATACCATGACCCATCCCCATGTATCAGCAAAAGATGGCACGTGGGCCGTATAAGGAATGACATCTGCAGAAAGATGAAAAGGCACTGTCCATTATATAGCGCTGATTTGCAGGCTTATAGCTTGTTAGACAATGAATAAATAAGCAAGGCTTCAATTGGTAGAGAGAATTACATTTGAAAACTTGCTTAATTGTATTGTATATTGATGAGAAGACCTCCTTGTGGGTGAAAATGCCTGCTGGTCCTGCCTGCACCGTAAGAAAGTCCAAACTCAATATGTACAGACCAGCAAAGAGAGTTACAGTAAACAGATTTTTTTTTTTGGTAAGGACAGTAAACAGATTTTTCTCACTACTGAGACTAAATTCTCCAAAACCATATGATTTTTTTTTTCCTGGAGCTGAAACAGAATTCGGAAGTCACATGTTACTCAACAGAGATAAAGTGAAACTGTGAGAAGGGTACCTGAGTGACAAATATACCATTCTTGTTAAGCTTAGGCTTGATAATCTTCTCATAGAATGACTTGGTGTAGAGCTGATAGCACGGTCCTCCTTCAACTGGATCAGCTAGATCTCCAACTATAATGTCAAACTTACTTTTCCTATTCTCCAGCTCGGCCCTTTAACAGAGATGTTCACCCGATCAGCTTAAAATTATCCAACTGATCTACTACAAATGAAATACACACGACTTACTTTGCGTCATTTATGACTAATTTCAGCTTCTTGCTAGAAAAGGCCTCATGATTTTCAGTCAGATGTTTCTTGCAAAAATCGACCACTTCCTGCAGTTCATCAGAGAAGAATGTTTGCAAAAACACGCTCAATTTGCATATGAAGCGTAAGCATCTACTAGAATTAAGTGTAGCCATGGCTATTCAATATGGATCTAAAGAAAAGCGATTTCTTTTGTCAATAAGAAGTTACATTTTGTATAGTCCCCATGTCGACTGACCTAAGTCAAGACGACGTCTTCAACTATAAATTAAAATATTCGACAACTGCAAGACATCTGTAACAAGACTTCTATTGAACCTTGAGGATCATTAGATGTGGCTTGGCCCAATTACTACATTTAGACTGCACAGTGTCCATGTAATTCTTGATTTAATTTGAATTTGAGACTTTTTACGCTTCATGCAAACACGATGTTAACTTAGCAAACTTCAAACTGAGAAAACATAATTTGTCTGGGTTACCTGGTCGATATCACACATGACCACTTCTTCAATTGACAAGTGCTTAAGTGCTTCTCTTGCAGCCGAACCCTCGCCACCTCCCATTATGAACACAGTTTTCGGGCTAACATGACAATGAACGCATCAAAGTTAAATGCAGTTGACTGAGAAAACATATAAACAAGCTAACTTACAGATTTAAGATGAAACTGGGAAACTTAAGCGCAGGCATCTTAGTGAAGACTTCTCCAAATTCAATGCACTCGCCATCATAGTGAAAATTTATGTCTATGAGAATAACAGATAAACTTATAGCACTATCTTAAAATTTAGTTTCATAGACCGAGTAAAAGTTTGTATTAATGAGCACATTGCACCATAGGAGTACCTGCGGTCGTATATATAAAAATGCCATCTGAATCAAATTTAAACACTATTTGAAACCTTCAAGTAATGTGGTAAACAAAAAAGAGGGAAGTTCGATCCCCAAGGGACAAATGAGAAAGGACTTGTGAATGAGGCCATGAAAGGTGAACACAACTTCCTGTAGGGGACTTACTTTGGATGACATAACAGAGGAGGGTGAATCAAGCATTCGTGGTATATGAACTCGTCCTTTTCGGCGCTCTGCATTTTCCCATCTATCAACAAGACCTGAAACCAAGCAACACGTTACGGTTCGTTCACCATGTTGACAACCATACTGGGAGCAAGAGAAACAGAACAGACCTTCCCAAATCGCTTGGTGTCGAGGAGAGCTATCTGCTGATAAGCGCTTGTCCCTCTATCTAGCACTCTAGAGAAATGGGTGAAGAGAATCAGTTCTCCATATTGCTCTTTTGCGAAACAATAGGAAAATAGACCACTCGAGTTAAACAGAGAACACTGGATTAATCCTAAAAGATTGCGACAACTTCCCATATGCTGGACAAAGTAAACAAATCTGACATTTTTGCAAATATGCAAATCAATCAACACTGCATACGTGCATACTATTCCCATGCCAATGCATTAAAGAAAAGGAATAGAGAAACAAAATAAGCCTAGTATCAAGATCAACATGATTTGACGATTACTACTTACTGTTTCTATATTTCTTCCTGCTGTGGAAGAGTAAGACTTCGTCAATAATCACATCCATTTAATGCAATTAATCATACCTTCCACCATAGTAGTAGAAGTATGGTGGTGAGGAAATTACATACTCGAGTAAACGTATTGGCACTACAAAGGTATATAACAATGCTTATGTGGAAAAAGAATTGTGAAAACTTGACCCTGCATGGTTTTAGCTATGTTATGTACCGTCAAGTACTAACTGTGCAAACGAATAATCTCTGATGATGAAACTCAACCATAACCTGTTCCTCAAGTCTGATAAGCTAATCACCCTCAATCTTCATCCAAGTATATATATTTCTTGGCTTTCTAGAGACAAAGTGACATAAACAGTTCAAGTAGGTAGGACAGACCTCTCCAAAGTAAATGACCATTTGAGATCATCATCTATCTGCTCCTCAAACCAAATGCAACCATCGGCCGGACTGTCCTCCACATTTCTCTCACCCTCATTGCGAGTCTTGGAGAACCCATTGGTGTGCAAGATTGCGAGACTCTCGGTACCCATCTCCAAGAAGCAAAAGAATTCACCAAGATTCACCTCAAAAAGTAGAAAAAACAGCAAGAACCCACACAACCCCAATTGAATGTATAAGGAAGAGTCCTTCTCTGTGCCCCTTTCAAAGTATGAGGGACGTTGGTTGGTTATGGGGAGAAGAACAGGAACCGGTGTTGGGGTGAGTGCTTTGGAGCGCAAAGGGTCTCATCTTTATAGCCGAAGGAGAAGCGATCATGCGCCAAAAAAAGAGGGGAGCTGCATCATCCAAACCAGGCAAGGAATGTTGACATTAATGATTGTGTCACAGTGCAGGCTTACGGATTATCTTCACATCACTCTTCTCACTTGCCAACTGGGCCACTCAAATGGTTCATCTTTCATGGATGATTCAGCATGGAAATTACTCGGGAAGTAGGAATAAGAAACGTATTAGAGATAATGTTAGAGATACGAATTACATGCACATATCGATACAGCATAGTTACTCAAGATGCGCCAATTGTATCCTCAGCATAATGTTTGTCATGTTTGGGTGAAAACATAAAGAAGCAAATGTTCATCAACTTTCGAAGCATTTCTTCTTTCTAGTCTTATCCTTCACTTTGTTTTTTTAAATGCAAGTGAGATTTTTACACCATGTCTGAATTGATGAAGATTACAATTTCTTTTCTCTTCCCTTCCATTTATTTCAATTTTTCTCCCCCCCTTTCCTTTCAACTCCCTCCTATTTCCAAACATAGCACGAATCAAAACATATTATTTCTCCTAATATAAACGATCTTTACACGCTTATCGAGACTAGTGTTCGGGAGATGCACATAATATCACGCATGAGATCGTGGCGAATTTTATTCAGACCCATCCTCGATCCCGTGATGTGGGACGGGATTCGTTGTTGTCGTCGTCGTCATCGCCAGTCACAATGTAGAAATGTTATGGTTATCTATACTGTCGGTTTCTGCTTTTTTTTTTTCGGTATGACTTTAAGAATCGATTCCTTTTTTTCCACCATTCGTGTAAGATCCCTATCGATTGTCACGTAACTTCGGTTGACGATGTGATGCATAAGGAGTCTAGATAAGAGATGTGTGTATTGGCTATGATCACAACAAATTTTTCTTTCTTCTTTTAGCCATTTTGATGATGCCTCTAGTAGGTTTTGGTCCGTAGAAGGCAGCGCACGCGGGTGGGAGGATTCTTGCTTTGCCGGCGAGGGAAAAAACTCCCCGGAAAACGACACCATCCATAGGCGAGGAGCCCCTCCGCGCGTGGGATAATGGGCGGGGCCCACCACTTCCACGCGGGGGGTCCGAGCGTGACACGTCGGCGGCGCTTTTGGCCCACGTGTCGCGGCGTGACTGGGCGCAGGTGTTGGGTGGGGACTGTGAGTGGATCAATTTTTTAATGTGTATTTTTTTGAGCGGCGATGAAATGAAAATGGGGCAAAGTGGATTTGGGTGGGTGGTACTACAACCCACTTACACGAGCATGTCTACCTTGTATCATGCAATATTCCACTTCTTCCCCCCTCTCCCCTCTCCTTAATTTTTTTTAAATTAGCATTCGGGCACGCGCTACCGTCCATGTACCCACATAGAATCGACGGTTCTGTACAAAGAGAGAACGGGTAAAATCCCGGATGCAGTAACAGTTTGAGAAGATCGATAAGTTCTGAGAGCCCGGTTTATTTCAAGATTATAACGGGATGTCGCTTTTTCTCTGAATGATGTGGATATGCATTGAAAACGAGGGCATTTGACTATTGAGTGAAGCGTGTGAAATGCTAGATGAAATTTTGATCGACCCCATCTAGGGTTGTGCGGTCTATTAGGAGGGCAAAACGAAAGAGACAAGAAAAAGAGAGGGAGGAGGGGAAAAAGAAAAATCTTGGCCTAAAGTGGGTGGTGGGGGGACCGTGGGGCCCACTTGAATTGGGCTTTGGTGGGTGGGCCCACCAAAGATTTTGGGGGTTGGGGGTGGGGAAATAGGCCTGGGTGTCGAGCGTGGGGTGATCCCACTAAGATGAGATTTTTGGATTGTGGAGAGACCACTCCCCTCCATCCATGGTGCATCATCACCACCATTCTTACCACCTTCTCTCTCTCTCTGTCTCTCTCTATCATGTGCTCTTCCCTATTTGCGTGCATGGGATTGGCTTCTCAATCCCCTATTTGTTTGGCTCCAATTTGATGGTCAATGACTAATTTGCCATCCCGCTAGTTTGTTTCTCCTAGGTGGGGTATCTGATTTCTTTTCTTTCTTTTTTTTTTTTTTTCATTTGAGACTAAACAACTACGTGTAAACGATGTTGGATAATCAATCGCAAATGCATCTAGATTTCGAAAGAGAGAGTAGAACGTAAGTAGACATGTCAAACAAGTCGGTCGGTTTTGGGGCAGGTCAAAAATGGTCCGACCAATATACCCATTTAACTTGTTTTGACCAATTTATATGCAATGCAAATCTAGTGTTCTATACCCGACCCATATTACTAAATCACTTCCATATTTAATCTAATCTAGAAAAATTTATACCCAAATTGAGGTGAGAGTACGGAGGGAGTGAGCGCGAGATCGAATGGGGACGAGAAAGAATGGAGAGAGAGTCAAAAGTCGTAAAGCCATTTATGATCCACTTATGACCCATTTCACACCCATATTATATTTAAACTCATTTACTAATTATAACTAACTCATATAATAATTCATCCCATCATATAAGGGTTAAGAAATTGGTCTTTGACCCATTTTGACATATCTAAACGTAAGGTTGTTTAGGAGAGTAAGCATGCACGTGGTCGATCTTTAATCAAGACGTGATATGCTTTATCAGTCGCACGCCCTCAAGATAAGGCAAGGCGTGCGCAAAGAAGTATAAGAGCATCTCGTAATCTATACATTGGTAATGAGTATATTTTGTTGGTCTATAGCAATTAGGGGTGAGCATGATTCCAAAGTAGAACCTGAAACTTGAGAACCGGACCAGTGGGAACCTGTCGGTTCCAGATTCCAAGGTATAAAGAGTAGGTTCCGGATTCTAAAAATTGAGGAACCTGTTTCGATGAGTAGGTTCTAGGTTCTAAGTATGTGAAACATGGAACCTGAAATCTGGAACCTATAACAAGTTTTTGTGTTTTTCTTGGTTTATGTCTTCGCATGATCTTGCGGTGTTCCATGGCGTCCGATGATGAATGTATAATTTGAAACCACTAGTCTGAGCTTCCATTTTATAACCGAGAATTTTACTTTGTTAATGTTTCATATTTTTCGTGTGTCTAAATATAAGTTGTGATCAGTAGATTATAGTAACAAGTTGTGGTCATAAAAAGTGATGTTTAACTGCAATAGTTTAATTAATAATTCAGGTGAAATCTAAGTGGACCTTGGAATCGACCTTGAAACCTGTGACATGGTACGTTGCAAGTTTCAGGATATGCAGGGTATGTTCCAGGTTCCAAAAAATGAGGCACCTGTTCCAATGGGTAGATTTCAGGTTCCAAGTTTTAGGTGGAACATATATGGAACCTAGAATCGCTCAACCTTAATAGCCATATGAATTAGCATGGTTAATAAATTAAGGACAAGATTGTCAAGCAACACTAAAGAAAGATAGAGCCAACAAAAGGAAGTGCCCTTTTGAGATGTCTCACCTTTTCTAGTATTGGGGGAACCGGGTGCAAGAGAACCCTTTTTAGATCTTTTGTTTTTTTTCCAATAATTCATCGTTAGGGCGGCTAATTACAATAATAATAACAAATAATAACCCCACTTTTAAATTATTAAACTTTTTCCTCGAAAGTCAAGATGATTTTATAATGCAAGAGGGAGTGCCGTGATAGGGTTTTGAGTCAAAGCTTTTGTAACCATCTGATCTTTTCACAAAGGGTCAACACATTTGTCCGACTGCTTAATGATATTTCTTGTCGGCTCCTTCATTATCTCAAAAGGCTTAAAGTTGAAATTTCCACTCTAGCTACTCAGAAAGAAAAGGAAAAACCAAAAACAAGAGGAAGAAAATAAAAGAATTATTAACGATGTGTGGCTATTGATTTGCAATTGTTGAAAAGAGAAAGCCTTCAATGCTTAGAAGGTCAGATTTTATTAACTTTTGATCTCAAGGATTCAACGGGCGACGGTCAATGTTTTTGCCAAGAATTATTTACTAAATCACATAACTTGAAACATGACATCATTAGCATTGTTATCAGGATCATACGATTCCCAATTCATGTCGTATGATTCGATTAAATTCTAGGCCTTTGTGATACCTGTCTATTTTGTTTTGGGTCAAATGATACCTGTCTATTAAGTGACTTGCTAATCTCCTTAAGCTCCAGCGGATCTATCGATTCACTACCAATCTACAATTCGACGCTACTGTATCAACTTTGTACGTGTTCACCTGTCAATTGATGTGATTCTATCATATTTTGTGATGTATGGTTTATTTTGATAGCTACAAAATGAGTAGAAGTAAATTTTTCACTCTAAAATGCTAAGGTAAATGACATGACAAATGAAGATCTGTATATAATTGAATGTGCCTATATTTAAATAAACAATGGAGATTATATCTGGCAAAAGGACACTATTAGTGCCATAACTTATGTATGGAGATCACTTTAGTGTCATAACTTTTTTTCGGATCACTTTGGTGCTAACTTTTTTGAAAAACGATCACTTTAGTGTCAATGCTGACATGACTTGTCGGAAATCTTACGTGCCGCTGACATGGCTCGCCGGAGAGGTCCATGGCTCGCCGGAGAGGTCCAGTTAACATTAAAAACCAAAAACGACGCCGTTTAGTCCGCTGACGTGTACTTTTTTAGAAAAATAAAATTTATATTATATTAATAAAATAAAAAAACATCAAACATTGCAGCAGCGGCGAGGGCTCCCACCCCACCACCGCCAGGAACGGCCGGCGGTGGTGGGTGGAGTGGTCGGCGAGGGTCGCCGGCCCCTGGCCGGGGCCCGGCGACCCTCGCCAAGAGGAAGCGATCGCCTTTGCTGGCGAGGCGAGACCTCGCCATTGCGACCCAGGCAATGGCGAGGTCGGCCTTGCCAGATCTGGCGAAGCTCGCCCTGCCGGCCACCCGCGAGCTTTGCTAGATCTGGCGAGGCCGACCTCGCCGTTGCCTGGGTCACGACGGCGAGGGGAGACCTCGCCCAGCCAGGGGCCGGCGAGGCTTGCCCTCGCCGATGGCCGGCGGGGCGAGCTTCGCCAGAGGTCGGCGAGGTCGGCCTCGCCGGCCCTCCCCTCTGGCTATCCGGCGACCGGGAAAAAGTTAGGAAAAAAAAAGATTAAAAAATTCGAAAAAAAGCCACATAATTTCCACATGTACAATTCAGATCATTTTTTTAAAATATAAATGCCACATCAGCTTTTTGGCCGGAGTCACTAAAGTGATCTATTTTTCTCCGATTTGGCACCAAAGTGATCCGAAAAAAAGTTATGGCATCAAAGTGATTTCTGTACACAACTTATGTCACTTCTTGTGTACTTTTGCCGATTATATCTTCTTATGCATAGGGATCATCACATAAATAATATTTCTTTTTCCTAAATCGCAATTCTCACAAATTTTTTTTTATAACTTATAATATTGCCCAGAAAATTTATAAATGTCCATGATAAAAAAAAACTAATTTCAAGTATTTTACCTAGTCTTCAATTCGATTCTCGTTTTACAGCTCAAAAACTTAAGATCTCGATTCACAATACACATCTCAATTTAACAACTACGATCATCAGCATCAAAGTAACAAACTCGGATTAAGCTTACCCGCATCGCCAATCTCGACCTTCCTAGACTATAAAAGAAAATTTATAAATAACTTGTGTAATTCCTTCGTTTACTATACAGATGCCCCGTGAACGGTCAAGAAAGGGTGGAAAATCCCAAGTTATGATCATGCTTGAGGGCAATCCTGAAAAACCCTTCAAAAGATAAGAGACAATCTTAGTAACTACCCGCACTATATAGATCAAGTACCAACACTAGAAAGTAAGCATTTTGAGTAAAAAGGACTCTCTTCCACTTCCCCTACAAGTATAGTTGCCCACTCCAAGCACGAGGGCTTATTCTCAACAAAGAAAAGTATATCAAGTATAAGACAACAAGCCCGTCTTCACTTCCTACTCTCATAGGACGAGGGGTACATTAGAAAATGGGGGGTCCCGAATCATTCACCGGCCACATACGAAGCCATGCGTGCAAAGTCCCCACTAACTGCTGTAAGCCAAAAGTAGAGAGATGAGCCAAACAGCAGAGGCGAGCAAGGGGACAAGAAGACAGAGTCAATCATCACTTTTCATGGTGTGGTGTGCGCGTGTGCGCTCGTTTGGGTTGGCTGCTCGGTGCTCCAACATCACACACACAGAATCTCTGCTTATTATGGATTTGGTGATGCGGTGGAAAAAGGTTTGTTGTGTGGGGAAATATATGGGGCACGTCTTGCGTACACGTGCTCATTGTCTGTGCTCTCAGCTTGGAGATGGGCCCGTCAATGGCGTCGAACGAGTGATGGGTACTTGCGAAAGAGTTAGATTGGAGAAGGGCAAGATTTGAATAGTGAGGAACCCCATTTAATTAGGTGTGGTTGGCCTTGAGCGATGTAGTCCATTCACAGAGTTTTGATCTTGATACTTAAGCTCGAACTCGAGTTGATTTTCGAGAAATGACAATGCAGTAACAAAGTCAAGTGGCCAGTTGTATCGTTATGTCGAGTCAAGATGTGCTCACGAAAAGGGTGAAGAAAGAAGAGAAGAAAGGAAGTTGCGAGTCGATTTCGTGGAGCACAATGGGTTTTAGGAGATGTCGATCACGGCACCCAAATCGTTTTCAGAGATTTTTCAGCACAACATGTGGGTGGATGGTGGATGCTACTGTTGTGAAAGCTTGTATATTCTCTAGTCTTATTTGACAAACTCGGTCGGATCCCTCCCACTGAAATCTTGGGTGAACATGTAATGATGAAGCAATATCACAAGATTCACCCGTTTCGCCACCGAACGAAAGGATTTCTTTTACGAGTCATTGATGGTTCCTCAAGAGTCCTGCCCCGACACGAAAATATGATCTTCAGCAACCAATCTGAGAATGAAGTACTTTCTAAGCACGCATGAGCCACAACAAATGATGCTTTGACATTGCTCTTGTCGACGACGAATGATGAGTGAGCAAAGACTAGCTGTCATTGCTCATCACCGAATGAGAAAAAAAATGTCAAAGCATGTCTAGTTTGGCTGAATTTTAATAGTTTTACGTACGTCTCTCATGGATTCAGGATTCCCTTTCCATGAGCCGATTCGACACCAGGAAAGAGGCTAGATTAAAGCGTGTGTCCGCGTGCTCACGTCTGAGCGCACTTCTTCTCGAGGTACCCTAGATAAGCCGAGACTAAAATGATGGCAATTCCACGGCAGCCGTTGACGCCCGAAAGGAAAAGGAAAGATGAAAGAGGAGAAGAACCTATGACGCTGCATTTTGACAATTGCTTCACGGGATTTGCATGACACGAGCTATTAAAGATTAGCCAATCGTCATTAAAGGCAAGTTTAGGACAGGGTTCATGTTGACATGTATGTATTTTAGCATGAAGTGGTCATGTTTTGTATTAGCAAGAACCACTAAATTGCCAGCACCACGTCCTACTAAAACGGTTTGCGAGTTGATTTGAATGCATCGCAACAGAGAACAGGAAGAGGCTTATCACAAGTCATGACCATTTGTTCATATTACCCTTCAAAAGAAGGCATCGATGAACTTTCTAATCACTCCTCAGCAAAAGGAGCCCATAACATTCTACCTCACCACTCATAAAATGTGTTTTACACAACACTACCGTACAAATTGACCACTCAAAACACTAGTAAACAGTTCGATGTAAATTGGACATTCACAAGAGCTCGATCCAGAAGACCCCATCAATTGTGGTGATTCATAGCCCCGAGAAATTCACCAAGCTTCATCAAGCATTTCCCACAAAAGAAACGCTCGAGCATGAACACATTCAGTCACGCTGTGTGATTACTTCACTACACTACTGATTGGTTGAGTAGGTGTCTTGGTCCTTAACCAAACTGGAATCTTCAAAATCTCTGTTGGAGATGGTGGTAGTTAAGAATGGATGGAATCCACGAGAAACCACGTCATCTGTCCTTGATGGCACCAGAATCATGACCTTGATAACAAGCACATTCTGAGAATTTAGCCCAAAAAATCTGAGGAAAAAACATAGCACTCACAAGGAAAACCTGAAAAAGAACGTACTTTGAATGGGAGGAAATATGACAGAAGCTAATATATGTCAGCCTTCAGGCGCCCACAAAGTGTTGTGGAGAGTGCGTGGTGACAAATACAAGACAATGAAGTGCAAAACAGCAAATCAGCTCACCTATCTACGAAGGATGTACTCCTAGCAACCATTTGGCAAGCTGACAGAGGTTTACACTCATATAGCCTGGTAAAAGAGGAGTCACCACAATTATAGGACGTGGGTCAAAAATGAAGACAGTAATAGGAGCTCTCAGATATACCTTACATTATGCCATTTCACCATTCAGCCTCGCCCACGAACATCAGTTTGTTGCAGCAAGCACAATATGGTGAACATTTGATCCCTGTATTCACGAAAATGAGAGGTAAATGAGCAGTTTAATAAAAATGCCTTCGTATATCTCCCTTCATCTTAAAAATTTGTTTTTGATAAGGCCATCACCTACTATAACATGATTCTATTTCATACATTTACATAGATCGTGGAAAGCTTGTTTTTCAACAAGTTTTTCTTTTTTAAATTCAAATGCGTATCCAGGCTAATCTGTGTAGATCAAACATTACACAGGCAACCTACGAAAAACACACTATAGCATGTAACACTGAAAGTCAGCTTAATTCAATGGGGAATAATTCAAAATGTAGGAGCACATTCCAAACTCCAATTACTTGGATTAGCACAAGAAGCCAGACAGGCTCCCACCGGTAGTGGATGAGCATTGCAAGCAAAGCCCCCATGACCATAACAAAACAGGGTGCCCAAAAGAAATGCTCAAAATGCAAGGCTCATTTAGTATGAAAGCGGTGCAGCGAGTGGAGGGGACAATGGAAAGAGAAATAGTCTCACGTTAAAAATATCACGGACGTAAAGACAGCTTATCACTATCAAACCAGTTCTTAGCTGAAACAGCACAAGCGATGGAAAGAGAATTGTATCTGATCATCATGTGGGAGATTATTCCAAACTCCAAGCCATTGTGTGCAGAGCAGGAAGCCTGACAAACTCCCACCGTTCATATAAGCATTTCTACGAAATCCCCGAAGCAACGTAGCGACGCCAAAGGGAAACAAAAAACTCAAATGCTATCACAAAAATAACAGGACAACCTCTATCACATCATCAGAAAATTTGACCATCCAATCTTCTGTCGCAATGGGCAAGAACCATTTCCAACAAGAACCGAAGCTGGATGGTAACAATAGTTATCGTCATCCTCAGACACGAGATTGATACTAAAAACCCAACTCGCTGTAAAGATGACATTTTGCGGGATAAGAGATTCAAACATCAATCACAGCACCGCAACCAGAATCGAAGCAAGCGAAAAAATCAGAGCTTCTCCCTTTCTTTTCCCCCCATCAAGAACATGGAAATGGAAATTCTACGGACTGAAACATTCAAGTCAGAACGCGAATCCCACCAAGCACGAACCCCCCCAAAAATCAATTTGAAGCTCAAACAAATCATTCCAAAACCATACGCCATCGTCTTCTTCTCCGATGATCACGAGCAAGCAAAAGAGCTGAGAAGAGGAGCCAAGGACGAACCTTTCGCCATTTCTTCGCCGACCCGCAACGCCATTTGCGCGATCCTGGTTTGGCCGAGAGGACGGGAATGGTATTCTTGCGAACTCGAACGTCATCGTCGGCTCGAGCAGTGCATCGCCCTCCCATGCTCAGAGCTCGAAACCCTAATGATGGCGGGTTCCGGAGCTGGAGGGATCCGTTTCGGAAAAAAAGATCCGACCCGGAAAAAGGCCCGATCGACAGGCGGGCCGACCCGGTCCGGGCCTCTTGGACTTTATAAGCCCATCAGTTTGGTCCGGGCCGGATGCTAAATACGGGTCAAGTCCAATGCAATCTCAACTACAAAATTTCTCTTTGGAATTTTCAATTGAGTTCATTTTTGGAGCCAACTAAACTTAGTTGGAGATAAACAAACCGCAGGTTAGGCTCCGTTTGTTTCGCGAAAAAGAATGATGTCGAAAAATAGTTTCTTAAAAATGATTGTCGGTATCGTTTATAAAATGAACGAATGAAAACGTTCGGACATAGATTGCTGTCGGTAATGAAAACATTTTTCCATCGAATGATTAATTTAAGCGACACGAGCCATCATTTTCGGGAAAATATTTTTTCAGACCATTCTCTTTTGTGCGAAATAAATGGAGCCTGGTGCAATTTTGTTTTCTTTCTTCGTATGTTTTCATAGGAGTAGGTTGGACTTGATGAGCTTCCCAACCCACTTAGAATGATGGCACTGACTTATTGAGCTTGTCAAGCGATCCAACGTTGAGTTTGGCAGCTCAACAAGCTCCATGATAATAAGCTCACCTAGTACTTTCCTTAAAATTGTGATCCATGTCGGTTCGTATTTCCATTAAGTATCACGATTTCAATCTTAAAAAAGAACGATCGACTAACATGTCTTGTTACATTAGCATTTTTTCGTGTTTTTGTTTCCCATTGGATTACACATTAACAATTCCCAATTCAAACATGTCAAGGATGGTTGATCATATCTGCAACCTTTGCTTTCTTTGCACACCATAGTTTGTCTTCAAAGGATGATTTGTCGAGCGCCGTGTACCAATGCTTTGTAAGATGCTCAACGATGTCGAAAGATAATTTGAATTCATAGTATAATTGGATTTGGATGCTAAGAAAATTCATTTGGTGAACCTCAAAATAACTAAATGTACAACAACCGATCATTGTTCGTAAGATGAGTATGTAAAGGGAGACCGACGTCACATGATGTGAAAATTGATGGCTCCCAGCTCTAATGGCCACGGTCTGCAGTTTAGGAGACTAGAATTACAACATTCATTCCGAGGCATGGACACGAAAAAGTTCGCCACTCGCAGCCTATGTACCACCGAGGCAAATTGCTTTGCTTCTTTCTTCTTCTTTTCACCAGCTAAGGATTAAAATACAGTTCAAATGGACTAAAAGTCTGAATGATAAAGACAGACTAAGCTCGAGTGAGTAATAGGAGTGCGGCAGAGAGGGCATTCGGGCTTTTCGTTGCACCATTCCATGATGCAATTCCTGTACATGGAGAATGGCGGTTTATCGAAAGAGGGGAACGCATGTGCAAGCACAAAGGAAAATGGGGAATTCAGGTCATGCAGAGGAAGTACCAGCAGAATACATGACCACAAGGTGTGGCTGTTGGGTGTTGGCGATGGCTCAGACACAATGTACATTTACTCGTCCCAGTAGTTCCTTGAGGCTGAACAAGAAAACAAGACGCGTAAGAGACGAGCACTGATTTCATTGGCCATCAACCATGCACCAGATGTAGGTCATGACACAAATCTGAACAGGGAACAAGCTACCTAACATGCTTATGTTTTCTGTGATCTCTCTTTTTTGGAATATATCTTGGGATTTCAAGCTAATCAAGAAGACCAAATCAAGGTTTTCGTCGACCAGTAAGTACTATCCAACTGGCACCATCAAATACAGCCAAACCTCCAGTCATGGAGCTCTACATCCTACAGATTAAGGTATAGTAAAATCCTAGTGTGATATGCACGTTGTTAGAAACGAAAGATTTCTGTGATGTGTGTATGCATGCAAGTATCTTTTTGTGGATTCATCAGTAAGATGAGGGGGGGGGGGGGGGGGGGAAGATAGGAACTGAACACAAGATGCCTGCCGTGATGTGATAAATCGAACTAAAAGTTTTTTAAATATCAATTACCTCTGAAGTCGAAGAATCTGTTAGCCAACTTCCTTTGTTATGATCCAGCGATATCATATTGCCCTCCTCATTTAGTACAGGCAAACCTCTCCCTACACCCAAGAGATGGACAGAGTACCGATTTGATTCCAGAAAGAACAATGCTATGTCAAGTGGGAGAGGTTAAAGAATTGAAAGTGAGGTTTGCCTTATGCTTAAAGAACTAGAAACCATTTGCCTATAGAAATTCTGATCAGTCATCTAGCAAAAATCTGGACTGAACAAGAACGCGTACAATGTGAAGTATCTCAGGAGAGCATAATATACCTGATGAAGTTTGGTGGGTGCCTAATGATATCTGATGAACTGAACTCGCAATGGATGACAAATTGTTGCGCCTTAGTCCTTCAGCAGCAAGGATGCAAAGCTGTATCAAGAGAAATATGCCCAATATTTGGTATCTGCAAGAAAATGAATTTTATCAGCTTTAATATTTGAGTGGAGAACATCTGTAACATTTGAAGACGTAATCCTTAAACTGGAAGAATATGAAGTTTGGCTAGACTGAATAGACGAGTGCTATATGCTCCCGAAAAAACAAAAGCATTAACTCTTAACCTCAGCAGCAAAGCATAAAGCTAGCTCGAGCCGACCACCAAAATGGATACGACCAATGATTATGTCAAAGAGGTGAATAGATTAACCCCCACAAGCATCAAGCATGCAACAAAGGGCACAATCTACATTAATGCTCCACAAACCAACGGGATGCACCATATAAATTGATCAGCAACACCTTTGGACATAACAAAAGCCCTGAAATTAGAACAAAACCCTACCTAGGCCTTTGGTTGGATGGTTTACCAATGAACACATATTTGATGCCTGCTGCTCGTTTTGATATATGATAATACAAGCCTATAGATAGAACATGAAAGCAAAAGTTAGACAAGAAACCATATCAGACACAAAAGATGGATCTCGGCAGAAATCACCTTCAAAGTAGAAGAACATAAGGTTACTTCGAATGACCAGCTGCAAAAACTCTCGAGCTACAGGAAGCACCTGAATGTAATCAAAGGGAAGCACACAATACCAATACAAAAGATAATGAGCCAATAGTTCTAGATCCATTGAGGAAAAGGTGATACAGTCATCTAATGCAGTCAACAATACTTTCAGGCACAAAATAACAATTTTTGGTAAGAATTTGTACAAATGACTGCACAAGGAGAAAAATACACCTATACAACTGAACACTGATCATTCCAAAACAAATCTCATAAGCTTTAACAAAAAAAAATATAGACTCAAATTACCACAGGCCACCTCTGAACAGCATCCAGCCACAACATATTTAATCTCCTCTTCCACCTCGCGAAAACAGATCCATTTCCCCGTGACACAGAGGAAGATGGATTACCAGTAGCTAAAGAAGTTTGACCTTGATTATTCTCGAAAGCAGTACTCTCATGCAGTTCACTAGATTGTGTCTCGGCCAGCATGATTCCACGTGAAGCAACTCTAGAACTGCAAACAAAATCCCAATTAAAGTTCACAATTTGCCAAACAGTTTTCCGAGTTCCTAGTATAGATTTAAGCATCAACAATGCGATCAACAGGCGAAAAGCAGTAAAACCGACCTTATTCTTTCCGCGAGATAAGGGAATGCAGTCTGATATATGATGAAAAGGGCGCGCCTTGCCGGCGTCGGAGGAAGCCCGTAAGGCCCAGCAACCTAAAAAGCAAAAAGAATCGATCTTGAGGGGACCCAATTAGAAACCAACACGGACACACCGAAGTAACATATCATCCACACATCAAACTAAAGCCCCCCAACCGTTGCGACATTTCTATTGATGCCATGTAAGCGTCATCCGGGACCTCACCAGCAGAGAACTTACGAAACCATCACAAATCATCCTATTGCACACCAAACGCTAAAAGCTAAGCTTACAGGCTAAGCAACACAATTTGAAATTTCCAACTACAACGCCATAAGGCCGACATGAGCAATGTTAAGCCATTAAACAAACCTGGGTGATGTCGCAATACTCTTCGCCCAACGTCTGCTGCCCCGAGCCAGTCGTCAACACGTAGTAAAGCATTTGCCCGAGAAGCTGCGTCTGCACGACACCGGCAAGCGTTCATCATCATCAGCGTTCGAACACGCAGTTAAATTCTAACAAGACGAACCAGAAATAGAGAAAAGATTGAGCGGGAAAAAGACCTCGCTTTGATAAGCCACGACGACTCTGGTGCCTGAACACGAATCGCAATCAAACTCCAATTAGCAAGCAGAGAGGAGCGCGCAACGCTGCTGCTGGCGAATGGTCAGCCCTAAAGAATCGGAGGGTCGAAGGAGGGTGGGGGAGGGAGGGAGTGTACCGAAGAGGTGGCGGATGGCGTCGCGGCAAGCGTCGTAGAGGAAGGAGGCGTACTGGTCGTCCTTCTCGGCGGCCCTCATGATCTCTGGCTGGGCCGCCGGCGGGAACCGCCGCGGCGGCTCCGCGCCGCCGCTGGTGGAGGCGCCCGGGTCGCCGGACCCGGACGGCGGCGGCGACGACGACGACGACGGCGACGGCTGACCCGTCATCCTCCGGAGCCCCATCTCCTCTGCTCTGCTTCGCTCCGTGCACACGTGTGCGTCCGGTGAACAAGGAAGGTACAGATAGGGACGAGCCAAAACGGCGCCGCTTCACCTCTGCGAAAAACCAAAAAACAAAGAAAAAGAAAAAGAGAAGACGCCGTTGCCGGGGATCGAACCCGGGTCACCCGCGTGACAGGCGGGAATACTCACCACTATACTACAACGACCTTGTTGTTCTAGTTGTAATTGTAGTTATAATTTAAATTAATTTAATTTCAAATTAAAGGGTTGTTTCCTTTCTAGGTAAAATGACACTAGCAGCCCCTAAACTGGCCAATATGCAGTGTGGTCCATAAACTTTTAATTTGTTCAATTGATCGATGAACTTTTGATACATGTTCAATATAGTCTCTAAACTTGAATAAATTGAAGGACTACATTGAATATCTTTATGTAGTTCAATATACCAAAAGTTTGGGGATCACATCGAACAATTACACGTTGGGTTAAAATTTATGGATCATATTAAATTAATTGAAAATTCGAGGACCACATTACACGAACCAAATTTAAAGATTATTTGTGTCATTTTCCCTTATGCTTGCATTACATGTGCGGATAACGTTCCTCTGGTTAGAGGCCGTCGCTTATCTCCCTCTCTCTCTCTCTCTCTCTCTCTCTCTCTCAAATTTTTAGCAACACCGCAGTGGAAACATTCCAATCGGTGTGGTGAGCAGAAGATGGCTCTGTCCACCGCTTCCACCATATCCATCCCATGCCGACCTTCTCCATCCCCATCGTCTTCCTCCTCGTTCCCGCTCAACACTGCTCTTGCGTTCCCTAGCAAGCCCAGGAGGTCAATCCTCACCGCAAGCTCGTCCGGCGACACCCCAACTGAGACCAACCCGGTGACAACAGAGAGCGACGCCTCGGAAAGCTCCATCGAAGCTCCTGACTTGGCCCCTTCTCTGATCTCCGCGCTCAACGTGGAACGAGCCCTTCGCGGCATCGGTGAAGACTCCATCTCTAGCTCTCAATGTTTTGGTTCTTTGCGGGGTGGCTATTTCAATTGTGTCCCGCTTGAGCTTTTGTTCGGGAAGAGGAGGTAAAGATGCGAACTTGATTGGTTTTGGTTTTGGAATGCAGCCATCACGGACGTGGATCATTACGGTAGGCTCGGGCTCCCAAGAAAATGCCCCTACGATCAGGTCCACCTCATGTGCCCCAGGATTCAGGCACTCTGATTTCCCTTTTCGAAGAATGTCAAGAGTAATGTTCATGTTCTCTGACTGTCTGCATGGAAACGAGCAGGTGGCTGGGGCGTACAAGAAGAAGGTGGAAGAAGTGAAGAGCGAGGAGGGGCTCGAAGAAGACGAGCTCAACGAGAAACTGGAACAACTGAAAGTGAGAGATGAGAGGGTATACAGTTCGAGATTATGCATGAGAATGTAATAATGTTTGACGATTTGATGTCGTGGGTATGCAATGTTCGGACAGGAGTCGTACAGGATACTGTCGTCCGTGGAAGAGAGGAGACTGTACGATTGGAGCTTGGCCAGGAGCGGGAAGCCGGACAGATACATGTGGCCTTTCGAGCCCGACATTACTCAGACCCCTACACAATCTCCTCCTCCGCCGGTGTGCTCAATCAAACTGCTCCATCTTTGCTCAATCTCATGTTTTTTTTAATCTGTCCGAAAGGGCTTCTACTTTTTGCTTAATCTAGACCTTGCAACGCGCACATTTTGAATTTGTTCGATGTCAAGTTGCTCGGGTAGTCTTGAATGGAATGTCGATATACTTTAACGAGTTCATTCGCTGAGAGTCTGAACTCTGTGATGCAGGAGCCGGAGGATGAGGGGCCGACGAGACTTGTGGGTTACTTCATGCTTGGATGGGTGGTATTGTCCTTCGTATTATCAATTGCTCTCAATCGATAGTTCCTCGGACGATGTATGGAATTTATAAAACATATCTCCCAAAGAGAGATCTTGAATTGGATGAAGCATGGATCTTGAATTGGTACTAAATCATAATAATTCTTATTAGAACCCAATGCCGCCAAAGATTGATCTACCAATATCATGGTTGATCTGGGTATTGGAAAGACTATCTTTCTTTATTTTGATTTTCATATTCGTCTCAGTATATCTCGAGATGATTTGTTAAGTTTGCAAGAAAGTGCCATTTCGATCGGTGCGGAATCACCTCTATCACTACTAACATTACGATGGTCGACTTTGGTTGTATCATGCCTCACCATTCAGCCCTGGACTTCCCGATCCTACGTAACCTTAAATGACATGCTTTTTGATGGACAAAAACTTTGCCATTGAGAAATCACTTCTATTTAAAAAATAATGCAACTTCACGAAGGTAAAATTTGGAGCATGCACATTTTGATACTTTCATATTTTATAATGTCGTATCACTCACAAATATATGAGCCTGAACAATGTGCTCTAGTTGTAGATGGACAGGGCAGCACCACAAAATGTTGCAAATTCGACTCGGTCCAATGCTCAATTCCACCAGCTAAATATTTGTTTTCTACGTAACCCAACAGTCGAGTTGACAAAGTAATTCATTTTATCGAAAATTGACTCCATTCAACTCGTCTCTATGATCAAAATCTTGTTCGTACAACTTAGCGATGATATGTGCACAATAATCAATATTGATCTACTTTTTCATCTCACTAAATTTATAAATTATTAATAGGTCCAACCAGACAATACCACGAGCAACAATCGAGAAACTGCACAATAGATGTGCTTGAAACTCATGTACTTGGCCCAACCCATACCATCCCTACAGGTCAAGAATCATTCAGGCAGAAATGATGGTCCCATAAGCTCGTTACTTTTCTTATTTTGAGTTTTTCATTATTAGCTTAATTAACACATAGTTCACCTCAACCAATCAAACGCTTTTATGCACATCTCTCGAGAGCCAACGAAAATTCATGGAAGAGTTGAGTGGCTTATAACCCAATTCAGCCAATACCTAAAGGTCGGTCATTTTGAAACTGGTGTATTGAGTTTTATAAGCTCTTGACCCATCTTGTATGCTCTAGTGGGCTTCTGCCAATGAGCTTATTTATACATCTACTCTCTCTCATCGTTGCTTTACTAATAAAAAAAATTAACACATAGTTAACATTCATTGAAAATAGACATAGGGGATAGACAATACCTATTGGTCGTAAAATTGACCTCGCAAGGACCAAGTTGTGTGATGAGGAAAAGCTTCGTTATTTTCTTCGGAAGATTTTACTATTCCGTTCAACATAAAATAATTTTTTTCAGTGTTCGTACATTTGTTAAAAAGTTGGTAAGTGTAAAAAATATTATTGGTAAAAAAAAGTTTCCGTGCACATGATTTATCGATAGTTTGTTGGTAACTTATCGATTCTTTAATGAAAAGATTTTGACACTTTCTCCACAAAAGTAGCAAAACATATATGCACTAATATATTTACTACTTATAAAAAAAAATTGATAACTTCATAAAAATGTTGGTAAGTTACCAATAAATTTCCCGATACAAAAATTACCAGTCCTTTCTTTTACTAACAATTTTTTTTTACATTTAACAATATATATTGAAATTTACCGACACTGAGAAAAACACGTATTAATTTGAAGCATGGAAGTATAAAGGTCTGCTGGTTTCTTGAATCTCACTGTCACTTAACAAAAAGATCAAACTCGCAAATCCATTGCAACGACTTATTAAGTTTACCTTGCAAGAAGGTTGGGTGGGCTTTGCTGGCCAAAAGAAAGAAGTTTACGTGGCTTTGCCTTTGATGTGCTTCTGAAGATGTGTGTTGCCTAGAAGTGTCCACTTTAGCGATGCTTTCCCACAATTTAGTCAAAATCTTTCTAAAATTCGACCATTTTCAACCGCCAGATGTCCTTTTCTCACACAATTTTGTTATTATATGCAAGTACATTATCCCTACAAGAGTTGCCCGAACACCGTAAAAGTGTCATAAAAGTATTAAACCTACTGCAATGGTACCAAACTAGTCGTAAATCTGTTTTTGGTGTCAGTCTAGTCCTAAACCTTTTAACATAGTGTCAATTCAGTCATTCAGACTAATTTTGGTTGGATATTGCTGATGTGGATACTGTCTGGTTTACGTGAATAATATTTAATAATATTTTAATTATTTTTTCATTATTTTTTCTGATTATTTATTATTTTTTCTTTCTTCTTCCTTTTGCCATTGACCGACCATCGGCCATCGTTAGGTAGGCTGGCCTCGCCCAAGTGAGGGTCGTCGCCGGCCGGCTAGGCGAGGCTGAGCCTCAGCAAGGGCTTCCCTTGCCACTGGCGAGGTCGGCCTCGCCTGAATGAGTCTCAGCGAGGGCTCTACTCTCCAAATCTGGCGACGCCGGCCCTCACCCATGCCACGACGGCCTCATCGAGCGTCGCTCGCACCAAGGCGACATGGTAACTAACTCAAATTAAAGTTGGTAAATTAAAAAAAAATCCAAACCTACGTTGATAACTAACTCAAAAGTTGATAACCCTTAAGTAGTTGATAATTAGTCTGAGAAAAGTTGATGAATCATTAAAATTAAAGTTAGTAATTTCATATGAAAGTTTGCATAATGCTTAATTAAGAAAGAGAAATAAAAATTGGTAATTAAAATAAATAAACTTGGCAAGTAACTCAAATGTGAGTTGGTAATCCAAAACTAGTAGATATTACAGAAAATTTGTATGTTATTCTAATTAAGTTTGATAATTTCTTAGAAAAGTAGGTAAATTTAAAGCATTGCTTGCACATAAAAGTTAAAATGATTATAAAACTTGAAAAATGTTAAAAAATTAATAAATATTGATAAGTAATTCAAATGATAATTGGTAACCAATATATGTTAGTTTAAAGGGAGAAAAGTTTGTGAGTTACGCTAATTTATGTTGGTAATCTTTGAAAAGAGTTAGTAGATGTTAGGTTGCTAGCCAATGCAAATAAAAATTGAAAATTCAATGGAAAGTTGATAACTTGAAAGAAATAAATGTTGGTAAATTACTTAAATGAGATTTGGTAACTCAAAACTAGGTGGTCCCTAATCTAATATGACAAAAGTTGGTTAAACACTTTAATTTAGATTCGTAATTTTAAATTAGTAAATTTAAAGTGTTGGTAAGTTCATGTAATAAAAGTTGATAAGTTAGAACAAAAATTACTAACTTGCAAACTGTAAAAATTAATAATTTCATGAAAATGTCGTTAAATTAGCAACAAATTACTTGAAAAAATATCACCAACCATTTTTTATCAGTATTTTTTTGACACTTAGGAACAATAACTGAAATTTATTATAAGCACGGAGAAAAAAATTCATACTTTTTTTTTGTATAGAACAATGGAATTTTACATAAATTAGATATACTCTGATTTTTTTAGGGGGGCCAAATTTCTATAACCCCAAGATCTCTCTAGAGAACATCTCAAGAACACTCCATAACCAAGTAAGGTTCTCCGTCAAAACTATTTTATATCACCTTGGAGTGAATGACAATATACTTACGAGTTACCTACGCCACATGACATATTTTATCATCAACCTCCTCTTTGTAACCCTCTTTAAATGGAGAAAATTTGTTGTGTAACCTACACCACATGACATATTGACGGACTATTATTCATCCAATCAAGTATTTTCATTTGCTTTCAACTTTGGACACTCATTGAAAATAATGGCACATTATTTTAAATGATTGATACTGCATTGTTATGTCACTAAATAGAGATGTTGTATTAGCTTCTTCATTTCTAAGCTAAGCTCGATTCAGTGGCAAAGTAAGACATTCGATTCAACTTCTTAATTCAAGTCTTTGTTTATGCTTTTTTACGTATTTTCATATCAATGTGTCACGTCGAAAATTTTGTAAAATACGAAGAACGTGCAATAAACAATACTTAACCCACCCATGGATAGCTCAGTTGGGTAGGGCGTACTTGAGATTGTGTGGTTAGGCGCACTGGTCCCAGATTCGATTCCCCAGTTGAGCACTTGTGATTTAAGTGGGGGGCCATGGCCGTAGGTTGCTATACTAGTCTCCCCTGAGGGATAATTGAGGTGCGCGCAAGCTGACCCGGACATCTCGGTTACAAAAAAAAAACAATACTCTGTGTTTTTTTTCTTTTTTTAGCCAAGATTTTCCTGGACACTTACAGACATTAGGCCAAGTAAGTAATTTTTTACATCAAGAGGCTCGACAAGTTTGGCAGTTTTATTGATGGTTGCTGACCGACATCAATTAATAAAGTCACTCGGATATCCGTACATTGAATTTCGGGGCTTAAGTTGACCACTACACAATTCCCGACCGTAGATAATAGTAAGGACAAATTAATTAATTTAAACTTCTATTTTGCCGGGAGCATATGCATGCATATCCACAGAGAAAATTGTAAAAAGTTCTAAAATTATTATAAGGCTGCTAATTAAGTTTTAAATTCTACAATTTAGTCAATGTAATCGTAAACCCTTTAAAGATTTCTCAATATTGTCCATCTGACCAATTTATATGGGAAATTGCTGACGTGGCGGTCTAATCAGCGGCAACCATCCTACGTATCATAGTTGACGATTTAACGTGTCCTACTTCACTCAAAATGATGTCGTTTTGAGAAGTTTTTTCTTTTCTTTTCCTTCATCGTTGATCTTCCCAAAAAGAGCCGGCAGGGCTTCGGTGATGGGATCATTATAAAACTAAAGAGTTGGACAAGGGCAAGTATTTCAAGAGTTTCACTTTACCAGCAGGACTTAAATTGAGGCGAGAGCTAGCCCTCTTACTCTTAAACCATGAGGTTGCAAAATACATGTAATTATGATTGATCAACACAACTATATATGTTCGCTTTTACGATGAAGTGACTTCATCAAGCATTAGTTTCTACATTGTTTCTCGAAAAGCAATGAATCCTTATATATGATGCATTGGAACATGCAAGAGATGCTTGTCTAGTGACGAAGTTATATATTTTTTGGGACACACGTCATGTGTGAATGCTTTTTCCCTTAAAATT